AGGAAGGTGTTTGCGACATTGAATATCTTAGTTAAATACGTGATTTTTAATTACTTCTTATATAATGGGAAAAAGGGTTGTACTTTGATGAAAAAATTATTTAATGTTACTGCCAGAAAAACCACAACAACAAAACACTAGAAAATAACACTGAATGCGAACTTCAATTGTTTTGTAGATTTTTATGTTTAATTTTCTTTCCTGGGAAAATGTGGTCTCAGGTTGGGTTATTTTTTATATGAAAGAATTGGAAATGACGGGTTTAGTCTGGTGTTGTCCAGGTTTTCTTTTAAGAAACTTGCTCTAGCAAATGAGCAACTTGAATCTGCAAAAAACTGGAAGTATCTCTTCTTCTAGGCGTAATGGAGCAAAAATAGACATGTGGTTAAGAACTTAAGATGCTATGATTTTCAAAGTTTTCATTTCTAAATTCCATCTTGTAGTACATACAGACTCAGCCTTCTTGAAATTAAATTGTATTGTTTGACAGAGTGAAAGTTTATATATATGAGCTACTGATTAAAATTGAGACTACAACTTCCATCAGACTGTGCGTAACTACAAGTATGAGACACATTTTACATAATCACGTGCATGTTTGTATGCCAATACACAAACATAAGCTTTGCAATCGGTGAAGTTTGTCTTCTCATCCAGTTCATTCATTCAAATACGTACTTTATATAATCACTTCCAAATTCAAGAGGCTTATGGATTCTAGGCGAATTTACTGAATTTATATCTTTCATCTCTTGAATGTGCCTAGGGCGGACCTCCATGGTGCCCGGGGTATCCCAAGCAAACCCTCCACAAGTGCCACCCCTAATACAAGTGTCATCCCTCAAAAGTGCCACCTCCTGAGCTCTTGTAACCCCTGAATTTTTGTGCCATGTGCCCCTTCTAGTTGTCTCTACTCTCTAGTTTTGTTGTGGTCAATACTGATCAGTCTTCATTATGTTAGGACGACACGGGTTTACAAAAACCTCTTACAGGGAATTTCACAAATAGTTGGAGCTCCGTTGCCTCATTATACAACATTTAGATCAGGCCTTGGGCACCTACCTGTTTTTACAGGAACAGTTGAATTAGCTGGAACCACATTCACAGGGGAATCTGCTAAGAACAAGAAACAATCGGAAAAGAATGCAGCCATGGCAGCTTGGACATCTCTAAAACAATGTAAGTTCATGTTTCCTTTTGCTTGTGGGTAATTATCGGAATGGTGAAATGGGTAATGAGCAGCTGCTTGTGTGGTTAGAGGAATCTGCAATCTCTTCATGTTTTAAGATGATCAAAGGATGCTCTTGTCCATGAGGTAGTGTTACACAACTGCTAGATGAAAAGCATGCCTGTGTTTTCTTGGCAGTCTGATTATGCTAATTGCTTTTTTATAGCATTTTCTGTGAGGATTTTCATATAGATTAGAGTTTTGTGCCGAAACTGAATAATATTTGCCTTTTACCGGTGGCAAAGGAAACTGCAAGTTCTCCTTCAGTCAGAGAACAATGATGAAGTTGAGCCGATTACAGTAGCACGGGCATTGTTGAATAACTGAATAAAGGAAAAGATAGCTATGGCAAACTCCCACAATGCCCCAATACCATTTAAAAAGAAGTTTCTTGTCCAGAACCCTAGACCAACAAATCCACAGCCTCTTACTACTACCTCAAAAATCCTTCCCTTAATCTGCCCTAGGATGGTTCCTCGAAACAGATCCATGTCAGCTACAGCCAATGAGAATTCCATAACGCCATCACTGCATGCACCTGCACCTGAAATCCATGGGCCTCGTCCAATGAAATTCCCTGCAGCTGGAGCAGCCCCTTATGTTCCTTTCCAACATTTTAGGACAGCCTGCCATGGCATTGCTCCGCCAGTAACAATAAAAACTGCAGTGCCTGTTTTCTCTGCCCCTCCACATCCAACAGCATCTTCAGTATCCCCTCAGTCGTCATCGTCTGCAGTTCGTACTCTGCCAGCACAGTGGATTCGTCCTGCACACCCACCACAATCTTCATTTCCCCTGCAGCAATCACTGTCTTCACTTCCTTCACATGTGCTGCAAGCTTGTCCAGCACGTACTGCTCCACCTGTCACCATCAGGCAAGTGATTCCTGTATTTGCTGCTCCATCAGTACAGAAAGAAGATATTCCGTCCGATGGAAATGAAAATATTGCATCGGTTACTGTTTCTTCCCTACCTGCTCAGGTCAAGGAGGGTACAAGCACAACAGCAGAGAACCCGCAAGAATCTGAGATAGTGCGGAGTTTAGAGCGACTCAAAATCTGATACTTGTGAAGGAAACGACTTTGAAGCAATAGGATAAAAGCTAAGGTTTTTGTGTTGGTAGCAAGTTTATTTTTGGTACTCTTTTTTGTCATCTCTTCATAGGAGGTTTTTTCTTTTTAATCCGATCCTTTTTGTTTTTCTCAACCATCTTTTTTGTTTCTTAGAAGCTACTGTATCTGCAGGTTAAGTTAGTACCATCTGTCCCGACTCACCGTCTTGTTTAAAGTATTTATGTCCAGTACATATTCACATATAAAACACAAATATATGCTGGGAGCCTGTATTCAATCATATGATTTTCAACCCTAATCAAAGCCAGTAATTTTCTTTCACGAACAAAGAAACATGAAAGTGAAAGGAAACCACCCAGGGAAAGATAATATAAATCCATATCGTGCTTATGTTAACACCAGTAACCACCCAAGAAGGCAACAATGGTAGGTTTATTGGTGAAAACAGCAGAGGCTGAAGAAGAGAGTCAGATTCCATAACAAGTTTGCCAAACAAGCAAAAAGCATGAATGAGTGGCTAAACTTTTGTTTCTTTTTTCTGCAGTTTCCATTTAGGGGAAGAATTGTTGAATGAATCACATGGTGGAACTGAAGAATCTGTGGCAACATCAGGATGCAATGTTGTGTTGTTGGTTGAAGGTATTGATTCCTTGGGAGGATGCTTGAAGCTATTCTTCAAACCTTGTGTATCAGGGTAATTCTCAAGTAATGCTCCTTTTGCAATGGGTGCCAGTTTTCATCTTTGCAAATCAAGCTGGGTTTTCCAAAATATTTGACGCAAGGCATTGTGCTCCGGTTTCGACAATTTGATGCAGCAGGTTAGTCCTAAAAACACCATTGGTTTGTTTCTACAATAGATATTAACAGCACTGCGTCAACTCGAGTTAACTGTTGGGCTAAAGATGTCAATACTCTCTTAACAGGGATACACTCACTTGCTGTTGCTTGGAATGTCCTTGCAGCTGATGACAACACTGCCCATTTTCTTTTGTAAACTGGTCTTTTGTAACTGTTGTGTGACAACGTTGTCGTAATTTACTTGTTATTTCAACATTCTCGGTCCAAATACGAACAAGTAAAACTTCAATAATAAATTTTATTTATCAAATGCATAAAATAACGAAAATTTACGTGTAAATTCTACATAGTCTATAGACACTAGGGATGGAAAACGGGCGGGTCGGGTGCGGATACCCCCTCCCCCATCCCCATACCCACTTAATATTTTTCAATCCACCACCCGCCCACCACCCATGATGGGTAAAAATTTTCAAATCCACACCCGCCCACGCAGGTACATTCTCAAATCCATCCCCACACTCACTACCCACTGGAAACGTACCCGGCTAGACCCGCCTGACAACAAACTTAAGTTATACATAAGAAACAAACATAAAACAAACACATCTATTAAGAAACATAATAAAATAAACCAATGATTATCTGAGTTAAGTGTTAATATAGATCTTAAAGTACATAAAACATCATAATAAAAGACATAATTAAAGTCTAGAAACATAAATGACAAACACATAATGTTTTTGTTCTTTGGCACAACGTTCTAAAATTTCAAGCAATACTTGTGACATCTGATACTCCAGTATTACAATCATCATTCTCATAAAACACCATAATAAAACACCAATATTGCAAAATATTCGGTTGAAATTTGAATTTGAAAAAGTCTGTTTCAATGGCGTTAAAAATGGAGGTTTGAGAAGCACAAGTGAAACACTTAATTCTATTCAGTGGCGTTAAAAATAGAGATTTGAGAAGCAACGATCTGACTCTGTTAGCAAAAAACGTGGGTGCTCAGTCACAAGATACTGATTTGTAGAACATTAAGAAATTAAGCTTAAAACGAACATTAAGAAATTAAGCTTAAAACAAACATTAAGATGAATCTAAAAAATAATTAAAAATTAATACGAGCAAATAAAAATTAAACTCTTAAAACAAAATGCAGAGGAGCTTAAAACGAAATTACTACGAAATTGACTCTTACAAAAATTAAATTTCAAGTAAAAAAGGAAGAAACATACCTGAATAAGCTTAAGAGTGAAGACAAGAGGTTTGAAAGAAAAAAAAAATTATGCATAAATTTATCCCTAATATTTAGTTAAATTACAAGTTATATCTTATACAATATTAGGATTTATAAATTAGCTCTTAAAATTACACCTAATTTCATAATGGTCCAAAATTTAATGGATATTTAGTTGGATGGTCGGATGTGGGGCGGGCGGATGCGGGGCGGGTGGATGCGGTACGGATGCGGGGCGGGTAAGGTCTCAAACCCATTACCCGCCCACTACCCGCGACGGGTACCACTTTCTAAATCCACATCCGCCCACTACCCACTAAAATTATACCCATCCCCACCCCAATTGAAACGAATACGATACAGAATCAACGAAATTGTACCCGCTTGCCATCCCTAATAGACACTCATTGATGTGGTAATAATTATGAAAAGAATATTGTCAAATTCCCTCCTAGATTTGTTCGAAAAACTAAGCAAAAAGCTATGATATTTTAGTTGTTTATTTAGCAAAATCCAGGGGCATATCGGGTAAATCCTAAGTAAAAATAATCACATCGCACGTTTCATATGCATTTCAATTTTTTGCACTCACTTCCCCCACCGGCCCCCACCTCTCTCTCTCTCTTTTGTTTCGTTTCCTCAGCTACTATTACAATCTTCACATCCTTACCTTTAAAAAAAAAAAAAAATTCTTCTTTGATCTCTCTTTCCATTTCCTTTAATAACAACAATCATTAGGGTTTTAGAAATTTCTTCTCCTTTTGAATCTCACGCTTATGCTATCTTTGCAAATTCCTAGATTCGCTGGTTTATTTTAGGGTTTACAGATCTATTTAGCTCATCAGCTTAATCGTTGCTTCTTGTTACCATGTTTTGGAGGCTCACATCTCTGTCTGCTTCTTCTCCCGTGAGTAAATTTTTATGCTAAATTAATTGATTCAACAATTAATTACATTTAAGCATTTTTTAAGCTTTACTTACTACTTTTGGTTTTCTTTTTCTTTTTTAGAGTAATCTTATACGACGTAATGGACATATTTAATTTTTTATTATATACATATATATTATATATTATATATTATATATATAGTTTTTCCTTGTTGGTTCGAAGTTCATATGAAGTTTACTTTGGATTCATCGATGCCAACTTAGTAGTTTCTGCGACTTAGATTTGTCCGCATAGTTGGAAATTTCGTTTTATTCTATTCGATGAATTCAAATTTGTTTAGCTGGAAGTGGCTGGAGTTCCTTTATTTTGAAGCTGAACTATCTTGTTGAGTGCTAATTGCTATCCTATCTAATTTGTGAAAATCATACAAACTATATAGATATGGTTAGCTGGAATTTTTAGATTGATGCTGGTTCTCCATTTCAAAGGAATTATTCTAGTGATATTTTTTAGTGTATTTACAGTGATTTTGGTTAGTTTCATTGACTGATATTCTTTTGTAGGTGGAGTCGATTTTAGACAAGGAAAACTTTACTTTGGAAGAGCTTCTTGACGAGGAAGAAATAATCCAAGAGTGCAAAGCTTTAAATAGTCGACTCGTCAATTTGTAAATTTTGCCACTATATCACATTGTGCCTTTCCTTATTTTTCTATTTGATCAGTTCATACTCTTTTGTAGTTGGTTGGAATTTAGAAGTTATTTGCTACACTTAAACTTGTGAAGTGTTTATATGATCTGTTTGAGATTTGAGAATTACTCTTGCTTGATGCTCATTATACTTAATTCTTTCAGTCTACGAGAAAAAACCCAAGTTGAGCAGTTATTGCAGTATATTGTCGAAGAACCTTCAGAAGATGCTGACAGCAAACGGACCTTCAAGTATGTCATTTTCATTTGGTTATATATCTTTCTGTTTCCTTGTAGCTTTTCTGATGTTAATTCCTCCCTTTCTTAAAGATCTCTTCATTTTTATGTCTAGGTTCCCATTCATTGCCTGCGAGATCTTTACATGTGAGATTGATGTTATTCTGAAGGCTTTAATCGAGGATGAAGAGGTATTAGTTTAATTTTCATTTTTGATTCTGCACCTCTAGTTATGGAAATGCCATGACTTTGTTTCATATGCTTTTTTTGTTGTTGCAGTTGATGAACTTGCTTTTCTCCTTCTTGGAACCTAACCGTTCTCATAGTGCTTTGCTAGCTGGTTATTTTAGTAAGGTGCGTTGTTCATTTTTGGATTATTTTATTTTCTAATTTTCCCATGTTTTGCATGTCATGTTTTCTCAGACTGCTACTTTCCGTATTATTACCACTCAATAAGTTTCATTTCCTTTGAAATTTAGGTTGTTATATGCATTATGCTACGGAAGACTATTCCGCTTATGAACTACCTCCAAGTAAGTACAGCTTTGTGTTTACTATCACATTGTGATTTGCTTGACAAAATTGAGTTTGTCAGTGGTTTATGATCCCCTAACTAAAATGGATATACTGTTGTATATTTTTCTATTTATATGGATTAACTGGAACATCTTGTTTACAGACACATCAAGATGTGTTGCGCCAACTGGTTGATTTGATAGGAATCACATCCATCATGGAGGTACCCAAGATATTCCTGTGTGTTTTGTTGTATTAGTGGATTTTATATGGTTTTTCATTAAATTTTTTGAGTGAAACTTGATGTATGCCTTTTTGCAGGTTTTGATCCGGTTAGTAGGTGCTGATGATCATGTTTATCCAAATTTTTTGGATGTAATGCAGTGGTTAGCTGATAGCAGTTTGCTGGAAATGATTGTAGATAAATTGAATCCATTGGTATTTGCGAACTTTCGGTTTTGTCCTTTTAATGGCGTACCATACTTTTTAATGAGTCTCACAACTTGTTTTTTTACAATGACCAGTGTCCACCCGAGGTTCATGGTAATGCAGCAGAAACATTATGTGCAATAACAAGGAATGCCCCATCACCTCTAGCCAATAAGCTCTCTAGTCCAAGGTTTGTGAGATCTTGTTCCTTCTTGTCTCTTCTCTACTTGCATCACCATCTTGATTAGCCATCATGTTTATGTTTCTGACTTGAACTGTAATTTTGCATATGTTCATCAACAGTTTCGTTGCAAGGATATTTGGTCATGCATTGGAAGATTCACATTCAAAATATGGCCTTGTACACCCTCTTTCAGTTTGTATCTCATTGTTGGATCCAAAGAGATCAGCCATTGCTTCTCCCTTGATGCATTATTTCCGAAATCAACATATGTATGATCCCCCAATCCCTGTAAATCCAGAGACGATCAGTGCAATGCTCCCTAAGCTTGGTGAGTGGATTTTTTTTTGTTGTTGCTGAAAGTTGTAATAGTTTCCATATATTCCTAGGCGCATGTAGCATATTGGTTTTCATTTTAGCTATGGTGTTGAGACTGCTGCTTGTTGTGTAGGTGACTTACTCATGCTTTTGAATGTTTCATCTGATGAGAAGATTTTACCTACCACGTATGGAGAATTGAGGCCGCCTCTCGGGAAGTATCGCCTAAAGGTTCATTAATTTTTGAAAAGAAGTTCTTATCAAAAAATTTTTTTGAAAAGAAGTTCTGTTTTCCAACCATTGTGGAATACTGAACTTGACACCTATTTGATTTATTTGGTGTTGTGCATAATGCATATCAGACTTTTTGCAGGCCTGTATCATAATTATTCTGTTATTTATGTATTGTATTGTGATTTATTTATTTTCAGATTGTGGAGTTCATTTCTGTCCTGTTGAGAACAGGAAATGAAGCTGCAGAGAAAGAATTGGTCAGCTCAGGAACCATTCAACGAGTTCTTGATCTTTTCTTTGAGTAAGCTCGTGCTTAAACCTGTTATCTTGAATGAACTGTAAACAACTTGTTGGCAGTTTCTATCTAGCAGAATATGCTTGATGTCATCTTCAGGAGGTGTCGGATCATTTCTTTTAGCAGCCTAAGATTCTCTGTTTATGTAAAATTATGCAGGTATTCATACAACAATGCATTACATCATCATGTTGAGAATATAATATTATCATGTCTGGAGAGCAAGAATGATGCAGTACTTGATCATCTTTTCCACAAGTGTGATTTAATTGGGAGATTTCTCCAAACTGACAAACAACCAATTCTTTCTGGTGACAATAATCTGGTAGATGTTAATCATCTTTCTATTTTGCATTTTGTTAATGGCCACTTCACTAATATAATTAGAAGCTGCTTTAGATACTCTGTGGTTGTACAGTCAGCTTAACCCCTTTTCTGTTCAAACAGACAGCTTTACCAGCTGCTGGAAAACGTGCACCACGGGCAGGAAACATTGGACACATTACACGTATTTCAAACAAACTTGTACAGTTGGGAAGCAGCAACAGCAGTATTCGGGCATATCTGCAGGTGTGGAATTGGCTGCTTGCTAATGTTGTATTTATTGCTTCTGTTAAGATCTCAAAGGCTGCTGATGCATTTTACTTTTAAGCTAACAGCTTTTTTCTTAATTAAATTAGGGAATGATTTGTTTTTGGTAAGTTCATCAGTAGTAGTTTTTGTATTTGGCACAATAGTGGTATCTTTAGTTGGTGGTAAATGCTTGGTTGGATGATACGATGAATTAGGATATTTTAGTTTGATTTTTTATTTAAATATTTTTTGTGTGAATTGCTGACTCAAGTTCATATATTTATATAGGAAAATAGTGAATGGAATGAGTGGCAAGCCAGTGTTCTACAAGAACGTAACGCAATTGAAAATGTTTATCGATGGGCTTGTGGGTAAGCTCTTGTTTAACTTCTTATATGTACTGCAGTCAGATTCGTTGGACGTGGTTGAAGGTTAATTATCTCTTATATATATTTGTGAGAGTGCTTGCACTCATGGGCACTCGTGGACTCTTAAGATATTGTGGCAGATTTGTAAAAATGACATGAAATTTGGCTTATGGTTCTCTCATTTTCTATTATTTATTTTTTTATTTTTAAATTTACAGCTCTCTTCTGTTTTGTTGTGTACAGATGTGGAGCTTCTGATAGTGTACTTGTCCATGTTGTAACACATTATATCTTTCAAAGTAACTGCAGTGTTGTGAAATCTAACAAAAAAATTGTTTAGAGAATCTCATGTATTTTCCTCCTTGTGTGCAGTCGCCCAACATCATTGCAAGACAGAACAAGGGACAGTGACGAGGATGATCTTCATGATAGAGATTATGATGTTGCAGCTTTAGCAAATAACCTAAGCCAGGCTTTGAAATATAAAACCTATGGCAATGGCGATAACTCAGTATGTATTTTGGCTTCTCTTAACGGTATCTTAAAGTCCACCTGTTTCTTATTGTTCTTATTTAACGGCTTTCAGGACCATGGTGATCTTGATCAAGATGATGAGGTGAGTGGCTCTGATTTCTTTTTATTAAGTGAAATCATCATTGTGTTTGACACGCCATTAGTTTGTTCTTCCAAAGGCTTCTCTAGTTGCCTATTAAAGAAATTGATGGTGACACAACGGAGGGTTGTGTTGAGAACAACATGAGTGATGGAGAAACCAAACAAATAGGAATTTTTTGCATTCATTTTAACATCAAAATTAACCGTAGATATATGTTTTCACTCTGCAGGATGTATACTTTGATGATGAATCTGCTGAGGTGGTCATATCATCCTTGAGGCTTGGTGATGATCAGGGAAGGTGAGTTTTCTTCTTGTTCGTTAGTCATGGTCTATGTTGCTTCCACTCGTTATTTTTGTGGAAAAGTACGTATGTTTGACATATGGATGTGAAGAAATGATCTTCAAAGATCCTCCACGTAAATGGAAAAGCTTAGAAATATATGACCATAATCCTATCCAACACTCACACCTGAGTCCAAGTAAAGATAGCTCATTGTGATGGAGCTTTTCGCTTATGAGCTTCATGATGGACCCTCCAGATGGGTGGGTGTTGTTTAAGAACCACCACGGACAGTAGCTTCTATAAACGTATGGTTTATGTTGTTTTGTTGATGTAGCCATACTAATGGAGATTACAACCCGTGTTTTTATAATGCAGTAGTCTTTTTACAAATTCCAACTGGTTTGCATTCCAAGACGATGGAAACATCAATTCACCTCTGGGCACATCCCCTTCAGAGGTGATGCACTTGAATGGCACTGCAAATGGTGGTAACAGCAGTAGTGATGATGAGGTGGTAGTTGGAGAGGAGGATGAGATGAATGAAAATGGCACATCTACTTCCAACCCAACAAATGGGTTCAACAACAATTCAGTGCTCGGCGGAGGAACATCAGAAACCGAGAACATGTTTGGAGCTAGGCCTATACTTGATTGGGTGGAATGGGGAGAACCTTTGGATTTGCAAGTAAGAGGTTCAAGCAAGAATCCATTTCTGGATGATGACATTTCAGAGATCAACCTACCGAGTCATACTGATACAGTGATGAGTGATGAATGCTCCCCTTCAAATGGGGAATCCATACTTCCAAACGGAACCCCGGACTCCATGGATTCAAGCGAGGGATCAGTGAGCAGCGAGACAAGTCAGAAATCTCCACCAGCGGTGCCAGCTTTGTTTGAAGAGGATGTTGAATTCGTAGGGGTGGAGTTAGAAGGTACAGAGAAAGCAATGGAGCAAGCTCTAAAAGAAGGAATAGTTGGGGAAGCCGGAGCATTGAAGAGGAAGGTTATTCCTAAGGTACCAGAAAACGAGAAATCGGATGATGGGATAGAGTTTAATGATGCGAACTTTTGGAGGGTGGATCAGGAGGTCACTGTTCTGGAGTAATGGAAGTTGGGTGACACAGTTTTGGTTGGCATTACGGGCAAAGCAAACTCATCGGGTGTACAGTATAATATTGTTTCCTGGCAGGGGTTACGGTGAGCTTTGCCATCTAAGCTTTTTACTGTTCATTATTAGTTATTGTTTTCTTGCTCATTATTATTGATTTAAGGTATGGATGACTATCAAATTACAATATCCGACAATCTGTTTTAGTAGTCAAAAGATTCAAAAATATTTTTATAATTATTATTATTATTATTATATCAAGAATAGAATGGTTTTGGAATTGCAAAATAAGACCTAAAGCAACTATTCTACTTGTGAGAATAAATGTGTACACACACACAAATAATGAAAAATAGGGAATATCTTATTTCAGTAAATATATCACGACTCTCCAACCATATTAATAATTTGAACAATTTGATGACTACCCATCTCCTTTGCATCACGTTTGATGTTCTGTTCTACCTTTAGTTGTCTATTTATTAATGCCTTCTTCTTCATTCCCCTTTATTTATTGCCTACCATTAGGGTTGTAAAAAGCTGACCCGACTTGTAAAACTGACTGAAATCGATCCGAGTCAAAACTGTTTTTGACATGCACTGTAGCGATCCGAAACCGACTCGAGTCGGAACTGGTGTTGACCTGAACCCGATTTGGACATGGAAATTATGTATCTGAACTCGACCTGCATCTGACCTGAGAACGAACTGAACTCGAATTGAACCGAAAATATGATACTTGAACTGCATCCGACTGATATGAACCTGAACCCGAGATTGACCTGGTAAATAACTGGTATTACTCGACCTGTTTTCAACTTGACTTGTTTTCAGCCTGACCTATTTTTAACCTGACCTGTAAATGATCCGACTTATTAATGACATGATCTGATATTTATCTGACTTATATATTACCATGGACGAAAATATAAGATTTTAATAAAATTATGAGTTTTTTAGTTTATGATGTAATTAAAAAATTAATATGATTACTTTTTAAATGTTATAATAAAATATTTATTATGATAATTAAATTAATAAATATACCTATTATATAAAATTATTTAATAAAATTAATGAAATTATTTAAATGTAAATTAGATAAAACATGATTAATAATGCAAAGAAAAATTAATATAGTTTAATTAATATAAATTATATAGTTTAATTTATATAAAGAAAAAATAATATTAATAATGAAAGTATTTATTATGTAATATATATTAATGTTTTACATTATTAATATAAATAATTTTGACAATACATTAGTTTACGTAAGCCCAATACATAAACTCACTCTTTTATAACAAATATATATGCATTAGTACTAGTACATTTACATTATAGTTTATGGTTTAATGTTTATGGTTTAAAGTTTAGTGTTTAGGGTTTATAATTTATGGTTTAGGGTTTCTATAAAACTATATACTTTGTTATTTTATATAGTTTATGCATAGTTTTTCTATAAACTATATAAGTAATTTGTTTTATATAGTTTATATATATATAATATACATATATATAGTTGACATATATTATACATGGTTTATACATACATATTATATAAAAATATTTAATAAAATTATTTAAATATAAATTATCTAAAATATGATTAATTAGGTGTTAAATAATTAATATGTCATATTGCATATTATATAGTTCATAAATAGTAGTACATGTCATATTAATTTTATTTGTATAATTAGTATTTTAGTTGCATGTTAGGTTAATTCACATTAATAATCATTTATTTTGTTGTTATGAATAAATAATAATAAAACCCAAAAATAAGTTCATTTGCAATAGTGATAGTCCATTTACATTAGTTTATATAGGCCCAATACATAAATCTACTATTTTATTATAAATATATATGCATTATTGCTAGTTCATTAGGATTTATGGTTTAGTGTTTATAATTTTAAATTTATGATTTATGATTTATGATTTAGAGTTTAAGGTTTATATAAATTATATACTTTATGTAGTTTAAACATAGTGTATCAAAAACCGGACCCGTTTCCATCTTAAAATAAAACCTTATTTTATTGGAAGTAAATCTGGGTACGCAAGAATCCACATTAGCTTAATATTTTATTACTAGCAATAAAATAATAATAAAAACATGTCTTCTTTTTTGCTCTTTCAATACTTTGTGTTCCTAAATGTAATAATTAAATAATATTAAACCCTAGAAAGAGAAATTCTTCCCAGTTCCCACTAGCCCGATTTAATTATTAAATCAAATAAAATATTGCTAGACGCCTCAAATAAAATAATGTTTAAAAAATTAAGCAAAATTTTCACCTCATCATCATCAACATTGTTAGATTGGGTTTTAATTAACCTCTAATCCACGTGTTTAAATAATATAAATATTATATAAAATTATTTAATAAAATTAATAAGATTATTTAAATGTAAATTATATAAAACATTATTAATTATGTGTTAAATAATTAGTATGTCACATTACATGTTATATGGTTCATAAATAGTAGTACATGTCATATTAATTTCATTTGCATAATTAGTATTTTAATTGCATGTTAGGTTAATTCACATTAATATCCCATTTATTTTGTTGTTATGAATAAGTAATAATAAAACCCAAAATTAAGTTCATTTGCATTAGTGATAGTCCATTTACATTAGTTTACATATGTCCAATATATAGTTTAGGAGTTATAATTTAGGGTTAACAGTTCAAGGTTCATAATTTAGGATTTACGGTTTAGAGTTTTATAAAATATATATTTTATTACTTTATATAGTTTATGCTTAGTGTTTTTATAATATATATATATATATATAATCTATAGATTACTTATATTAGTTATACATACATATATATATTAATATAAATTATAATTCATAAACTATATATTTTTTTATAGTTTATACATATATAGTTTAAATATATAATTTATATATATAGTCCATATAAACATAATTTTTATATATAACTTATAATAATTATATAGTTTATAATATAAATATAGTTTATATATATAGTTTATATATAAACTTAAATTATATATATATATATATATATTATATTTTTTTCCAATTTTTTAAATGAATGCAATTTACTATTTTTTCATTATTTCTTCACATTTTGTATTTATTTCGATTTAATCTTTTTTTTATTTTTTAATTTATTTCAATTTTAAGTCTTTCACTTTTATATATATTCAATTTAGTCCTTAAATTTATATTTGCATCTTCATTTGGCCTATTGTTAGTTGTTATATATATTTTTGTAATTGGTCAATAACTTTTTAAATGTGTTTAATTTAGTTCTTTTTTATATTAATTTAAACCTCACATTTTAAATTTATTTCGATTTAGTCCCTTACATATGTGTGTTGTTTAATTTATATTTTAAAATTTTATTTGTAATTTTACATTTCCTCAATTTTGTCCTTAAATTTATATTTTTTTTTACAAAATTGATCCATGAATATTTATTTTTCTCTTAATCTACTCGAAATTATATACAATTACAACTTGCAATACAACAATCACAAAAGATGACAAAATAATTAATCCAAAAATAAAAACGATCTGACCTGAACTCAATCCGTATCTGGTAAACATCCGACCTGAATTTTATCTGTCAATGATCTGACCTGATCTGAACGAGATCCGACTGAAGTCCACCCGAACCTGAATTAACCTGGTCTTTATCTACTTCGGACCTGAACTGACATCGATCCGAACTGAAAATGACCTGACCTGAACCCGATCTGGATCTAGTGTCAAATCAACCCGAAAATAACACGAACTGATTTGACCTGCATCCGATTTTACCCGACATATCAAGATCCGACTGAAACCTGACCGATTACCTGATTTTACAGCCTTACCTACCATTAATGATAAATATTACTCGGTTTGTGTGTTCATTTACTGAAAGAACCAACACCCCATATGTTTTGTTTGTACTAATAAAGTCTTTTTCTTATATAAAATACTTGTTAAAATTGAACAATCGAATAAGCAAAAGAGAAGTTTAAAATGGAAAAAAATAAAATTGCTTCTTTTTCTTATTCATAAAGAAAAAAAATTATTTCGTTGGTATTTGTCATCTTGAATATGCCACATATATAGTATTGATTTATTATATACAATTGCTCCTAAACCCTACGTAAAACAAACTACTAGTGTTATGTACAAGATAAGAAATTATCTCAACTTTTTAATTTTATGAGTGAAATTAATAAAATAATTTATCTTTCAAGTATAATAAAAATTAATTTAATAAAGCAAGGGTTATAGGCCATTTTATCATCTCTGATTCATCACATGTTTTTCTAAACTCTATATTCGCAAAAAGTAATAAGAAAATAGCATTTTAAAATACATCCGAAAAGTAGTTAAGCTAAGCCGTTTTCTGAACTACATTGATGCTCCTCTCAAACCAGCGATTTCAATGGTCTCCCAAGTTGTATTATTATCTTACATGATCAAAATCAAAATAAGAAAATATACCAACCACTTTAAAAACACCTACCGACCCTTGTTTCTTTTAATCTACAATTTATACCCAATGGAAAACAAAAGCTTTATTATGGGTATAGGAAATGAATGTGAGGAGAACAGTGCTTTGAGATTTCGTCCATGACTAACCTTGGCTGTGGACGAGCCGGAAATGACTGAGCTTGTTGAAGCTTTCGTTGTGGAGGGTTACCAAAGAACATGGTCTGAGAATGAGTCACCATGTCTGTCATGCTAGGGGTCTGGTAAGCTTGAACAAGGCTCGAACTATTAGTGGAATCACCTCTTGCGGTTGCTTGTTGCAGGGAATGTGAGCTTATACCTGACAACACATATGCCCTTCCCGATGATTCATACACATGACGGTTTGCCATTCTCTCTTGCATCTCCTTTAGCTCCGCATATAGCACAGCACATAACCTATCACCTGCCCCTGCAGAAATGGTTTCAGATAAAGCCCTCTGACAGCTCTCGAGGAGTGAGACAGCAGCAGCTAGTTCACTACGTATCATACAAGTGATTCCCCGAGGGCAGAAGAATCCTTCACAACAAACTGAGCAATTCCGAACTCTGTAAGGCATCGCAGAGGCTTCTCTTAGATTAATTTTCTGTTCTCTACCAGCACCACAAGCCCATCCAGGCTCACACCCAGAAACCCAAGATGTTAAATTACAGTTCTTATTAGGCTTCAAAAATCTGGACTTCTTTGCTTCACCTCCATTATGATAGAAACTGCTAAAGTAGAATTTGATT